TTAATCTTTAATRAAAGTTTCTAAAAAGACCTTCCAATTTACTTGTTCAGATTTCTAGTCTTGGYACAGCACCATTCTTTGTTGAAAACATCAGTGATTTACAGCACAGTTCTCTAAAGCTCGTACGATCAGTGTTCAGAAGATACATTAAACACAGAGACTTGATTCTAGAGGATATCTTTGCTTCTTTAGCAAGACTACCCTCAAGTAAAAGGAATATGAGAAGCTACAGGTACAGTACTATCATAATAACTTCATTTACCTTTGATTAGCTGAGGTGAAAGCTGCAATATGCTATTAGAGAGTTTTGGATAAGCTTTTATGGCGAACGCCAAACATCAAAACTTATCATGTGAACACTGTTTTTCTATATTAATGGTCCGTTCTTTCAAGATTGTGTATAAAAGATATCACTTTTTTGTGCACAAGTGCATCACTATTCCTTTCAGAGCATTTTTATATTTGTTTGAAATTTTGAGACCAAGCTGTATTACTATTTTCTTGATTGATGACATTCTACTGCCAATCAAAGTGCACAAGTTTTGTCTATAGGCAAATGATCAAAAGTTCAAGGGCAGACTGAGTGTTTGTAGAAGGCAGTCCTAAGGAGGAACATTTCTGTAGTTACATGATATTTTTTAATGACAAAGTTGCTGATYGTGTTTATTTTAGATGTCTCCCATTATTTATATGGTGATCCAGTAGAAGGAATYGCTGAATGTTTTCATATTGTAGATTAAATGGTGAAGAGTCAATACAGATGGTTACAGCACTGGTTTTACAGCTGATTCAGTGTTCTATCAAGATACCAGACAAAGATGATAGTCATGCTGTAGATACAACAGCAGAATGCAAGGCAAATGAAGATGAACCTATCAAGGTATACAATSTGATACCATTGCCTGCATCATTGCTGTTATTAGTGCTAGGCTTTAGACTAATAGCTAAAATGTCACTAAGCAAAACTTGCCCTKGGGGTGTATASAAGGGAGTCAGGGTTCTCTTTGGAAATTTTGAAAATGACATCTGCAATATTAGGTTATAGGTGCATCAGTGATAAAATTGCACCCCAAAGAGGGATCAACCAATAACCTGTCATGTTGGTTCAGTTTATAAAGTTTCATTTGATACAGTAAGCATCAAACGTTGGAGCTCATGATCTTACTGTAATATACTGCTGGCTTAGAGCGTTTCCCCTTTTGCAGGCTGTTTACATTGTTAGTGTTCAAGACCAATTTGCAGTATACATGTACATCATACCTATATAGCTGTTGCTTGAGTTCACATATCAACATATGTCTCATTGCTAGTATCACCTACTGTTGGTAGTCTGTACATGTACATCATACCTATATAGCTGTTGCTTGAGTCTCATTGCTAGTATCACCTACTATTGGTAGTCTGTGCAAGTGATACTTGCCGTGAGTGTATTAATGTTTTTGTTGGTATTGCAGGTTGATGATGATATTCTGATCTGTAATTCCTATGAAAATGCTTTAAGAACAGCACAGAATTTCTTGTCCATGTTCCTGAACAAGTAAGCACATCTCATAATACTAATAAATAATAGAAATTGTTTTGATATTGTAGAATACAGCAGATTTAATGTAATTTTGCACTGAATGTAGCCTGTAAGTCAGGCCATAGAATAGACATGSTAACTGTAATTATTGTAGTTATAAAGCATCTTACTCTTTATTTWAAGATAGAAGCATAGAATACTTACAATAATCTACATTAATTTTATTTATTAGTGTCCTTTGTCAACAAGTTCAATTTATAATTGATCATTCATTTGTTATTGTTGCAGATGTAGCAGTGTTGGTAAAGATGAGGAAGATTTCCGGCCTTTGTTTGAGAATTTTCTGCAAGACTTGTTACTAATGCTRAACAAACCAGACTGGCCTGTTGCAGAGGTTCTTTTAACATTGCTTGGAAAATTACTGGTAAGCTGCTGTGATATGCTGCAATCTTGCAGAAATAAATGTTGTGAATATTGCTCTTAGATTCTATATAATATTTCTGTGAAAATGTTTTACATTACACGCTTGCCTCCCTCCCTCAAAGTTGTGTTGTACAGATCTCACATTCTTGCTAGATGTAAGTTGGAATTTAATGGAAATGATAATGGAAATTATTTTTTGTTTTTTAGATTGTAACATTCAATAACAAGTCCCTGGATGTCAGTCTGAGAGTCTCTTCTATTGACTACTTGGGTGTAGTAGCAGCACATCTTAGAAAGGACGGTGTGATAAGCCACCAGATTGAGTCTGATAGTATCTCTGATATGCTCATTGATGTAAGTCACCTCTTACTACTGTTTATGATAAATTAGAATAAAAATTCAACATAATTTCCTATGATAAAATAACATAGGTCTGAAGATGAACAGTTGTTTGAAAAATGCTTGGCTAAACTACCATGTATCAATGAACATGAATATTGTGAAACTTGGATTTAATTTGAGAGCATRAGTTATGTSTGTCAGTGGAAGKGTCATTTACACAGCATGTCTTGCAACTCTTTTGAGTTGTATACGTACATGATAATCACATCATGTGAATCAAACTATAAATCTTGGTAGGAATTTCAATTAATCATATAATAATAATGTTGTTTCTAGTTACTGGGTGATACCTCAGATGAATCCGATGAAGAAATGACCAAATGGGTATGATTWCTGTCACTTACATACTAGATAACTTCACTCCTGTTGTATTGTGTCATTTACATGAGACTTRAACAAGAAAAGATTATGATTGATATAAGATCAGATATTGTTTAGTACAACACTGTCTTATGATTGTATTTTGTAGGATGAAAGATCTTCCAAAAGAGTCCATGTCCTGAGAAAAGCCCTTTGTCATTATCTAACAGTTGAAGGGCAAAACGATGCAGCTTTAATGGTAACATAATATTGTTTATTACTTACAAAAACTAAATAAAAATTTCAAGCAAATACAGTTTTACAGTCGTGGTGGTTTTTATTGTACCAGTCATCTCTCTGAGTAGTTATAATATTTTCCAGTGATTGGTCCCTGCATTCCCTACTCTACATGATTAATTACTATTAATTTTTATACTTAACTTACTTAATACRTAAGTTATATTAAATATGAAATGTTGAGGGTACAAAGCRCAATTACAACACAAAAATTTGAAAAAACTTTGCTTGTTGCTACACAGTTTGCCAAGAAGTTTTATCTAGCGCAGTGGATACGTGATGCTCAAATAGAGAAAGAAAGGGCCATGAGAAACCCTTCTGACTTGCCATCTGATATCATGGAAGGCTTGAATGCCTACACCTCTTTTGGTGTTGACAGCATACAGAAATCAGAGGAATTGAAACAAAAGCTGCATGAGTTGATAGATGACAGGATAACAACTATAAGGTACGGTAATGGCGTGTCTGCCCTTCTGTAAGATACTTAGTACTTTATTGTACTTTATTCTGTAAGATAGTTAGTACTTTATTGTTAAATATAAGATGAGTTAATTTCCTTCAAGGAACTTCAAAAACTGACTGACTTGCACTTTTGTCATGGCTGCTCAATCTCAACACACTACTTGTCCATCAAATCTCATGCCATTTATGCCTTTTTATCCTTACCAACCTTAYATTGTTCATTTTGTCTCAAATCGTTTTAAGGTCATCAATAACCTTTGCAAAAAAATGGCCAATCATTAAAGCATCTTTCAATGACAGGTCTTTTTTAATATAGCAAAGGTTCTTGTATKCAAGGGGGCTTTTGTTACTTTCATGTCTAAATCATGCATGATCTTTATTTTTACAGATCTTCTCAGAACTGTCTTGACTATGACAAAGCCTTGATTGTGTCTAGATATCTGGGTTCATCAAGATCTTTCTCAAAAAGCTTTGATGGTTATCTTGGCCAGGTAATGATTATACAGTCATATGTACTTGATATTGACTGGATGTAATTTAAATTTATTTTAGACTGCCTAGGCAGTACAGTTGAGAATCGTTGGGCACTGCAATCCTTGACAGTAGCTGCTTAAGTGTGCTGTACAGCAGGATGCACATGTTCCTTGTTGGCTCTCGTCTCCTACCCAGGCAACTCCTTTTTCCTCCTTTGGGCTTCCTTTGTAAAAGTCATCTAGGGACTAGTTCCTTAAAAAAAGACCTGGGAAGCCCATGACTCATAGTGACAACTGTTGAGCAAGCAATGTTAGATATTTGTGAATGATTGTCTGTAGATGTGAAAGAAGGTTTCTATCATTGCACGCTCAACCGTTGTCTTGCTTTGATGCAAAGACAGATCTACTTTTTAAGATGTTACCAGGAACTGTGAAGTAGACTATTGAACCTGTATAGAAATGAAAGAAAGTTATAGTGCTTAGAAAGAGGCAAAATTAACCCCTACCTCGCTGRGATTCGAACCCATGACCTTCGGATCTGTACTACCGATGCTCTACCAGCTGAGCTACAAGGCCAGACTGGTAGCAGGTCGAGGTGAAATAGATGTTAGGTTACGGTAATAGAATAATGTAAAGATATGCATACGAGGACCACATGGTACTATGATAGACACAATAAAGAAAGGAAATTGAAGCTGTWGTTTACATRCTTTGTGCTCTAAACAAAGCACGCCTTTTGAGCAATCASAGGTTGTGTTATATGAAAGATTTATTAGTGATTGTAGAGAGCATTGTTGTTTTATACTAATGTGTATGCTATCATTATTGTTGACAGATTCTAAGAATCCTGAATGAAAATGTTGTTGCAATCAGAACAAAAGCCATGAAAGCCCTGTCCGCTGTAGTATCTGCTGATCCATCCATACTGTCTAGGGTAATTAACTTGTTTTATTCATTCCTCAATGTGGTTTTGTTTATTTAGTTTACAAAGCAAATTGCAATACCATACGATATGATTCAATATAATATGATACATGTATATTGTGCATAAATTTGTACCTCTTTGTTAGCCAATTGACAGGCTTGTTGTTAACCAATTGACAGGCTTGTTGTTAACCAATTGACAGGCTTGTTGTTAGCCAATTGACAGGCTTGTTGTTAACCAATTGACAGGCTTGTTGTTAACCAATTGACAGGCTTGTTGTTAATTCATAGGATGACATGCAGAAAGGAGTTCACACCAGACTTGTTGATATGTCTACTAGTGTACGAGAAGCTGCTGTGGAGTTGATTGGTCGCTTTGTTCTTAACAGACCAGACCTCATTCATCAGTATTATGACATGATTGTTGAGAGAATCTTGGTAAGTAATATAAGTACCCTGTTATTGTACACTGAATGTTACTACTGTATTGATTGTGTGATGATATGATTGTTGAGAGAATCTTGGTAAGTAATATAAGTACCCTGTTATTGTTCACTGAATGTTACTACTGTATTGATTGTGTGATGATATGATTGTTGAGAGAATCTTGGTAAGTAATATAAGTACCCTGTTATTGTACACTGAATGTTACTACTGTATTGATTGTGTGATGATATGATTGTTGAGAGAATCTTGGTAAGTAATATAAGTACCCTGTTATTGTACACTGAATGTTACTACTGTATTGATTGTGTGATGATATGATTGTTGAGAGAATCTTGGTAAGTAATATAAGTACCCTGTTATTGTTCACTGAATGTTACTACTGTATTGATTGTGTGATGATATGATTGTTGAGAGAATCTTGGTAAGTAATATAAGTACCCTGTTATTGTTCACTGAATGTTACTACTGTATTGATTGTGTGATGATATGATTTGAGTCACATGGATTTCATTGATATTACAGTCAACTCTCGCCTTATGGACGCCCTGCTAAAACGGACACCTCGATATTGTGGACAGTAAAATACTGAATCCCAAGCGAAAAATATGAAGAAATAACTAAAAGTAACTCTCGTTACTACGGATTCTCACTACTTTATGGTCCCAAGGGTGTCCATAATAGCGAGAGTTGACTGTAAATTAGATTTTATTAAAATGGGATTGGCTAATGTACTGACAGATTGATTGATAGGTTGATTGATTTGATTGATAGGTTGATTGATTGATTGATCGATAAGTTGTCGGATTGGTTGATTGATTAATTGTTAGGTTGATGGATTGATAGGTTGATTAATTGATTGATAGGTTGTCGGATTGGTTGATTGATTAATTAGTAGGTCGATTGAGTGGTTGATTGATTGATGGGTAAATGGATTGATTGATTGGTTATTTATTTGCTGGCCACAGGATACTGGTATCAGTGTTAGGAAAAGAGTCATCAAGATCCTTAGAGACATCTGTATCAACCATCCAGACTTTCCTAAAGTCACTGAAATCTGTGTCAAGATCATCAGAAGAATATCAGATGAGGAAGGAATCAAGGTATAGCATTACAAATGATAGGCTCATGGACATTTTCCAACAATCATTCTTATACATTTGATATAAATATTTTGCCATTTCCAGGAACTTGTCACCAAGGTATTCCAGCAAATGTGGTTTACACCAGAGAAAGGAGTTCAGCAAGAAGTCCTTCTAAAACGTGTGGTACAGATGACTGAAGTTGTGAGTATCAAAGTATATTAACATAGAAGAAGATGCATAATTCATATGAAGGAAGTACAACAACTTTTGTATTAATTCCCATTGTCTTAATTGTAACCATTATATATTATTAAATAATTGATAAATTATTTTTTTTTAAAACAGTGTTGTTTTTGTGTTGTGTAGTGTTTTACTGATATTTGTTTTTTCAGGTTTCTGCTTGTGGTGAGAACACTGACTGGTTTGAGCAGCTTCTTGACAATGTAAGCTTGTGACCTTCAATATTGTATTTTACACATTCAGATTCTCATGTACATCGTTTGTTTTAATTCAAAGTTACTAAGAAGTGATGAAGATTCCATTGTCAAGTCATCAGAAGAAGCCTGTAATCAGATTGTTGAATGTCTTGTAGAGAACATTCTACGACAGGAGGAGAATGTCATTGGTAGGAATGTAACCCTTTTATTGTATACACCAGGTGGTTTAATAGCCTACAGTGCATAGCTCACTAGATAGGTTCCTGTATATTCTCTGAGATTTGATTTACTTGCATTATCATATAATGGCAGCTATTATACTGGTTCTCAACATGGCTGCTCATACAGGGCATGACCTTCTGTAATGATATGTTGTATTTGCTTTGCTGAAACCTTGAAATTGATAATTGAATGGCTTGCTGCAAAAATGGCCAAAAGTCATTTTTAGGGTATTTTTGAACTTTTCCCTAAATTGAAGAAAATTGTCTCCAATCACTTATTTTTGCTCAAAATACTCTTGTTTGTAGTTCTATTTGATTTCTTTCTAACAACCGACAGTTATGGCCTCCCCCCCCCTACCATAGCTTAGGTTTGGGGTTGGCACTTACCTTAGTATTAGGTTTCTTGAGAGTTAGTATTATATTTACAATATTTATATTTGTTATTTTGCAGCTGCATCTGAAGGCCAAACGTCAAGYAGTCAGAAACTGGTAGCCAGTCTAACTACTCTTTACCTTATGAGTAAAGTTAAGCCACAGCTGCTAGTAAACCATGGAGCTACCTTACAGCCTTACCTYAGCACTAAATGCAGTGTAAGACATTATGGCGTTTAGTTATAGAATATTTGGTTTAGATTGGTCAAAAACACTCTGATTGGTCAAATGYTGAACAAATAGTGTGCCGAGTATAAAAGAAAAGATTACAGGGGTGTATCCAGGGGGGTAACAGGGTGCCTGTGATCCCCCTTTCAAAGCCAAAAAAGCATGAAAAACATAATAGATTGATATGACATCATATGACTCGATAGTGACAATTTGGTATGTAAGGACCTCCTCCCTCCCCAATGAAAATCCTGGATAYGCCTCCTGAATTAATCTATGCTTAGCTTATCTTGACACCAGTTCAATGCTCAAGTGATTGAAGTATAACATATTGTTTCTTTTCATTTCCAGACACAAGGAGATTACCTGGTCATCCATAATGTAGCAAGGATTCTAGAGCTAGTGGTGCCGTTGATGAAACATCCTAGTGAGACGTTCTTGGCCAGTCTTGAGGAAGACTTGATGAGACTTACCGTCAAACATGGTCAGACAGTAGTTCAAAGCTGTATAAGTTGTCTTGGAGCTGTTGTCAATAGAGTCACTCACAATATTAAGCTTGTGAAGGATTATTTCCAGAAATACTATGGTAAGATACTAAGCAATGCACATGTAGTTAATGTAAATAAGTGGCCGTGTTGTAAGGGCTTCAAAAAGTCACTGGTAAATTGCCTGACTGATAAAAACTGATTTCCATGATATGACTGCATGTCTCATGTGACTTGACATTCATGACCAAACCATGTACCATGTCAATGACCATACATGACTTTCAAAAATGGTGGTAGTTCACAATCGCTAATATTGGGGGACTAGTGACAGATCATGGAAACAAGACCTCAAAGGTCTTACATCTAGAAATCACTAACAAAGATTGCATGTATGGCAGTGTAAAAGTTTGAAAGATGTGGTATGATTATGACAAGACACTCTTGCAAAACGCCGTCAAAGTTTACTATACAGAGGCTGGCCTTTGAGACCTTGTTTTGGTGCTTCATCCCCAGTGCCCTGGTCGGCTACTGTGACATATCACACCTTTTTTGAAAGTGGTGAATGACTTCTCTTTAAGTGTAGCTTTTGAGTCTAGGCCCAAAATCCCATCAAGTAGTGATTGACATCCATGTCAAGTCAGGAGTGACAAGTCCCATCATGTAAATTGGTGTTTAGACAACCAATGACAACTCGTGAATTTTAAATGATTTTTATGACATTGGTTATACATGTAATTGCCTACTATCATCATCATCAACATTGCCATCAACCTGCACACTCTATTGGCACTAAAGGGGTATTGTAATTGCAGGATTTTTATTGAAAGCAAAGATGGAACATTCCAAAAAAAGCAGTAAAAGTGGGCAAACACCCAAACCAACACTACTRAGATCACTGTTTACACTGGGRTTGCTATGCAAGCATTTTGATTTTGATGCTGATTGTACAACATCCAAACAGGTAACTAYSACAACATTGCATGATGCATTACAATAATGCACTCTGCCAAAACAAATACATCGTCRTTATGAATGATATATGAAKKAATAATGAATGATKTTGTTGTCGTTAGGGTGTAACAAGCAACAAAGTGTTTGCTGTTTATATCTATTTCTGTAAACATGAAGATGAAGAAGTYAAACAGAAAGCAATCAGTGGATTAGGTAATCTTATCATAGTCAAACATTAGTGAAAAGTGATGCAGGAYAAAATTCTTATCTATGCAAACCCTTTTAATATGCAGGTATTTCATCAAATTTTGAAAGTTTGGCTGTTCTTAAAAAGAACTGTAAATGTGAATCATAAGGAGACACAATTTGTAAAAGTAGTCAGCACAAAGGCCAAAAAAGATGACTGAATTCATTGGTTGTATGCTACTGACAAACTCCTTGAATGTTCTGTATTTATTAGTGGTATTTATTATTGACATGTGACCATGTTATACCATGATGTTATATGTTTAAATATAAAGGAAGTATTGGTGTATTTTCTGCAGGGTTCTTCTGTATCAGATATGCTGAACAGCTCATGAAAGATGAAGCTAAATCTCTTTATCAGGATATCCTATCATCATCAAATGAATCTTCCAAGCTAAAATGGCAGGTACTATGAGCATAATGGTACATGAGTTTAACTTTCAAACTCTGATATCCAACTCCTTTTCATTCCTTTCTACTTCTTTCCACTCATTCTAGCTCTACTTTTTCCTTCTTTCTCCTTTGTCTTTCCCACTTTTTTTCTGCACTACTCTGTTCATTGAACATATGACTTTTTTCATATAGTTATACTTCACAATTCTTGTTTTTCAGGTGTTAAAAAACTTCCAAACACATTTGCTGGAAGAAGAGAAAAGACTTAGAATACAAGACCATGAATGTATCTATTCTCTCATTGTATTTAGTAATATTATCTTTGTAGTCAGTTGTAATATTGTATATTTTGTTTGCAGGGAAGAAGCAGTCTGAAAAAGAAAACTTAAAAGAACTTGGTGACACACAGTCTGGGTAAGCTTTCATAATGCAASTGAGCTTGTTTTGGCAATGCTTGACTGGTRAAAGCATTACAAAGAAACTGATKTTTAGTGRGCATTGTCGGTTGTCTGGTTTGYTCTCTCATTCATTCATTCTTCTTTTTCTTCTTTCATTATTTCATTCAATTTGCAGATTTTCCAATTTTATTGTCAAAAGTGACTGACCMGGTCAAAAGAGAATTCCGTTATTTAATCAGACCTGTTCAGTCAAAGGAAGTTAATACATTTCATTCATTATTGTAATATGGGAAACTTTCGAAACTCTTGACAAAAAGGATTATTTAGTTCTAAATAGGTCAGTTTGACCAGCAAGACTAAATGAAAAGCGCCCTTTAATTAGGATTCAACCACTGTCTCTCTATAGTTGACATTATTCGTATTTCATGTTTAGCCAAGCCAGTGCTGTGATGCAGATCTATTTGAAAGATATCTTGGAAATGTTCTTCCATAAACAAAGTCAGCTACGAACWGCTGCACTTACAGTGGTAAACTTGATCCTGAGACAAGGTCTTGTCCATCCAGTACAGGTAAATATGCCATGTGCGGTTCATTTTGACCAGTGCAAATAACAGAACATTGCTTGTTGCACACATTGTTTGGTAGCAGCAAAAAGGAGACATATACAATAGAATATTGTTCATAGTTATCATACAGCCTTTTGCAAAAATTATGAGAATTGTCTAAATATCTAAATATCATAATATCCATATCCATATATTGTCTGGAACACGAGGGTTTGCTAGAATAATTCATTGTTGACATCGAGAAAATGTTCAGAACTACTGATAAGTCTGTCACCAAAAAAAAACTAAACTACAAAGACAAGGGACCAAGGGCATCACGCGGGATCAACCATCATGCACTCAATATTATGATATTTAGATATTTCTCATAATTTTTGCAAAAGGCTGGTGTATAATTTTCTATGAAATATCTATATTTCTCTCTTTTGTTATAACCCATTCAGGTTTCTCTATATAATTGGAGAGATCTTTTCAACATTTGAAGTCTCCACGTACCTATGTAATATCTTCTATTTGTATCAAAATGTAAATTATTTGTGTTTGGTATATTCAAGAAAGCTATCATATCCATTGTAACTTACTAGCAAAGTATTGATATGGTTTAAATGTATGGATCATGTTTTCAGTGTGTACCATACTTGATTGCTGCTGGTACTGATGTAGAACAACAGACAAGAATTAAATCTGATCAACAATTAACTGAYATTGACAACAAATACTCTGGATTTATACAGGTAATTTAACGTAATAGTGAGTACAATAGAACATGATAGGTTTTCTCCATTATCATGTTGAAGATACATGTAAGTAAGAGTTACATACCGAGAACGGAGGCAATCAGCCTAATACAT